AAATTATACTTCATTTACTTTCTCTAGCGATGTGCCCCTTCCAATGTCTTGGATGCAAAATCGCAGGTAGGGAGAAAAAAGCTCATTATACTCTCGACTGTTGTTCATTTTACATACTTTTTCATACAGTACTTGCCAAATGTTTTGTGCAATCATAAATAGCAGTGCGGGTCGAAAACAAGTGTTAAAGCCTTTAATATGTCTTCAAATATAAGTAAACATTTCGTTGTAATTTTCAGTAGTAATTGGTACCAATAACAGTACATTTGAACAATCCAATTTTAGTGGATAAAATGGTCTATTTTTCCATACAGTAGTGTACGGACTATACGCTCCTCACCGGTTAAGAGTTTGGCCGAGAGTTGTCTCCTTTCTTTTCTGGCCTAGTGCTCTTCTTTTCTACTTTGCGCCGGTCAAACTGTAAATCACATCCCTACAGAATGTAAACGAAGTATAATTTAAATATCCCTAAATGATTTCTGACAAATTCCAGTGGCGACATTTAAATAGTTAGAAAATTATTAAGTTGCAATAGTAGGTATTTTATGAAAAGTCAAAATAATTAAAATGTTTAGTAGTATCATATGAAATGGGAATAAATTACAATGAACACGAGAGGCAAATAGGCAAGAATCAGTATTTTATTATCTTTATTAAAACAGCCCAAACTCACAAGGACGACACTGACTACTAATAATTGACAAAGGACAATATTTTTAGTAACTTACTAGTAACCAGATTTAGAGCGCCAATCTCAAATTAACAAATACACTATCGGTATAAAAATGAATTCACATGGTTCTCGATCATTTATGAAGGCACTTTATAAAGAACATTATGAAGAAAACACACTAACAAAACGTTGAGTATGTGCAAAACTAATAATAGTATTAAGAAATTATTATAAACAAGGACATAAAAAAAAAACAATAATGGAAAGAAAACTCATATACCTAGCGACAATACAAATATTGAGGTCCGGGAAAGAGAAAGCCCAAAATCTTGGCAATTATTTATTAGTTTTGAGATGGATCTACTTGCTATTCTAAATTATGTATGTAAATGAAGTAAGTTATGTAAGGACTTTGCAAATGTAGAAAACCATTTATGTATTGCATAACCTCATACCTTTTCAATTTACGCTAACAACAAACACTAGGGCTCAGTGCCTGAATTGGGAACACTTTGATACAGCACTTAACACATTTATTTATTTAATTTACGTTGATATATACAAAAAACCTAATAACATAAAAAAAAATGAGCAAGAGTAAAATTATGTAATAATAACTTAAAACTAACGATCAAAGTATGAGTCAAAAATGCACATACACAAATGCCTTCCCGTTTGCACAGGGGGATACTGGGCTTACTATAGAGGTGACAGGTTGGCTGTTGACTTACTCCCTCCTTCTTGCCTGAGTGTGTAAAATGTTGGAGTTTGTCGGTACTGAAAAAAAAACTTTTGGGTGTTTCATTCCCACCAGCCAATAATGCTGGTGGGCCGGAAGTCCCTTCGGACTACGCCGGAAGGTAGGGCGGAAGGCTCTCTTCAGCCTGCTTTCAGGAATCGTGGGAATGGGTGGGTGGTGGTTCGAGTGAGAAAGTTGTGACGGACGAAATGAAGACAGAAAAGAGTGAAAGATTATCTGTGGAATATTACTGCCCCAGCATTTGCCTAAATGATCCAAGGAAACCACAGCAAAACTTGGACCAAGGCAGACGGACCCGGAATCGAACCGGCGTCCTCCCGAATTCTAAGCAATATGTCTAAACCTCTAGGCCATGCCGCTCGGTTGTCGGTACTGAGGAAAGCGTGGCCATTGATACCAACTCCAGTAACAAGCAAGGGTTGAGGACAAGTGGGGTTGAGAATGGGCAGTAAGGCAAGGGCGGAAACAGACATGAAGTCGATTTCGCAACAGAAAAGGAAAAAACCAATGTTGTTGAGAAAAGACTAGACATGTGTGATAACATAGGATTAGAAAGCAATGGTATTTCTGTGATAAAAATTACCAAAATTAAAATTAAAAACGTTAAGGAAAACGATAAAAAAAAATAAAACCAATGGAAGACTTTTTGCTCTAGTAGACGGACATACCAGCTGTGCTGTGTTGCGTAACTAACAGGGTATGTTTCCACCAAAGGAGAGAAAATATTGGTTACTACTAAAATAAATTTCATATTGGCCCATTTAAAAATGAACGATAATCGTCGAGTTGTTTCCTGGATGACTCTGAAGAAATTCGGTGTCACCTCCGATATGGCCTACAGAGTTTTCCCTCAGAAATTCGTGACGCTGCCGAAGTTGAATTACACTGTTGTTCCCCCTTAATTTGGTCGTAGAGTGTTTCGTTCTGAATTTGTAATACTCCAGGAACAGCACAGTTGTTACTGGAGATGGGAGAAGACAGCTGGTGTCATCTGTGTCCGGAGGTTGTGTTCCTAGGTAAAGGTAAACTCTTGTAAGAGAAATGCCCACCTGATCAATTTTGCATCCTTCACGTTTTGCAGCCATGTAATAGTACGATTGTCAGTTCTTAAAATGGATCGCTTGTCTTCTAAATAAGGGCGGTATTTTTTTATAGCACAAACAAACGGCGAGGCAATCCTGTTCGTTACTATGACATGCTCGTTCCGTGGGATTGAATCGGGTAAGAAATAAGAGATGACTTACCTTTCTCCTATAGGCCCTTCCTGATATAAAACGGCGGCGGCTCTCTGCTTATAGACATCCGTTTCGCAAGATAAATGTCTTTTCGAAATCTGAAAGGCTTGCTGCATAAGTTTCCGGATGATGTCGAAGGACTGCTGACATTCGCGGCTCCAACACCACTTTCTTTTGGGACTGAGAAGATCTGTAAAGGAGGCTGAGATGACTGTTCTAATAGTCAGTTGAATAATCCCAACAACTTCTTTACTTCCGAGCGTTTGCAACGGGCGCTTCGTGAACTCAATCAAGGTGACTGGACAGTGAAGAATTTCCAGATAAGTTAATGTTCGGGAACCGAAGACGCATTTTTCGAGTGCACTTGCCTAATTGTGTTGCTGTAATCTCTTTACGCCAAGTAGGTGTTGGATATGTTCTTCCCAGGTACGCAAGAACACTATTATATCGTTGAAATATACGAGACAAAATTTTCGCAAGTATGCCGCCAACTACATCTTGGCCCATTGTACGTTGAAACGTAGCAGAAGTTTCCTTTCAGCCCAAATGGCATAATCCTGAAGTGGAATTTTCCTCCGTCGAGAGCGGTAAAAGTGGTGGGATGACGGAAACCAGGATGCATCAGGATCTGCTAATAGCCTGACTTTAGATTTATACTTGAGAAGATGTTGCATTTTCCTAAGGTTTTTAGAGTCTCCAGTATAGTGAGACGAGGCGAAACTTCATCGTAGATGAGGTTCTTCAAACTACGGAAATCAACGCAGAACCTTACGTCACTATTCTTTTTGTTAACCAGAACCACGGGTTACCGAGAATAAAATCATCTTTTAAACCAAGGGCAATGAAGACTTCAGTTTCTTGAGTAGTCCCGTTGACATACATTGTGATTGATGCGGTGCCCAAAATACGAATGGTTGTTCCATTAATAAGACTGGCGGTTGATGTTGATCTTTAAATCGTCTGCCAGACGAGTACCAATGAAGTTGTGGGATGCTATCGTATCCAACAACGCTTTAACGTACATTTCTTGTAGACGGAGTGGTATTTTCGACATCCCACAAGGTGATGTGTTGATCTGGTGGTTTTGAATTGGCGAATCCCTGGCCATTATTGAGCGCAGTGAGGCCGTATTTCTCTTGGCCTGTTTCCAGTTTCCCGACTGCGTCGAAACATTTAGAGCAGATCGCTTTTCCTGGAGGATCGAACAATCCCGGTGGAAATGCCTTTCCGAGCAGTAATGGCACCTGTTTTAGGTGTACGGTTCGTCTCGTGGGCGGAGACGGGCAAACGAAGGGACAGGAGTTTAGGCGAGATCACGATCGACCTCTGTTGCTCTTCTCAGGAGCTCATCCAGGGTATAAGGCTTGGGTGCTCGTAGGAAGATACGGCCCGAGGGCCGCAAAAGCTCGATGAGTAATTGTATACAAGACTCCTCAGATTTCTTCGGTTCGAGTCTGTAGAGAAGTTGCATCTTGTTCAGCAGGAATATTTCTGTGTCGTCTTTACTCCCCTGTTTTTGACCATATAGTTGTTCCGTAAAGTTTGCTAAAACTTCTGGGCTGTTGTGTTTTGCCAAAAGTCTGACTTTGAAGTCATCCCATTGTATCTGGAATTTATCGCAAGGACGCCATCATGATGCTGCATTTATCATTAATTCCTTGATTGAATGATTCGCAATCGTTCAAGAAACTAACGGGACTTTCGGCAGCGTCTCCGTTGAAAGAAGCATTCGCTGTAGGAGAAGTTCCAATTTCGATGTACTAAATTGGATTTGTGTTTCTGTCTTAGGCGCCATGGTGTTTATTATGCACTCCAAAAATGTGGTATCCTCCAGCTCGTCGACGTCGGCGATCTTCTCACTTTTTCGCGGCATTGTAGTTTTTGTACAAGCTAGTTCAATTTATGGATCACAGCCGCGGATTAGTTCTATTTCGCTAACAGATTGTTTTTTTTTTCTTAACCACACGCGTTGGGCGTCACTTGATACATCATGCAATTTACCTTAAATATTCATATGTACCTTCATATTAAAGAAGGTGCATCAAAATGTATAAAGATTATCCATAAGCGAAAGATTCTTCCTTCATTTAAAATCGAACAGTAATGTCCTCCGACGTGATTAATTTAAAAGTAATAATCTATTATTTTTAAGTAATTTAGCAATTAAAATTTTACAAAATTAGTGGAAATTAATGAAAGTGCATAAATTATGTGGTTATAGCTTTTCATTAGGTAATTTAGAATAATACCTTCAAACTCACTATCAGCAGTTCTTTATATATTCATTCACAACAAAAGCATTTTAATATATATATTTTATTTTGTTTTGCAGGACTTACTCGTAACATTGTCAACACTTCTTCGCGGTTCGATATACGAACGTTTGCGGTGGACGTTCAAATTATATGACATAAATGGCGACGGCTGCATCAGTCGGGGCGAGTTGAGTGAAGTCGTCATGGCCATCCACGATCTGATGGGCCGTAAACACCACGCCGAAGAAGAACGTAAAACTCGTGAACAAATTGACAGAGTCTTCCGGAAGCTCGATCTCAATCAAGATGGCGTCATCACCATCGAAGAATTCATGGAGTCGTGTCTCAAAGATGAGATGATCACGCGATCCTTACAAGTTTTCGATACCGTGCTGTAATGATGGTCATTGTGTACTCTTTGACATATTTCTTTGTGATTGTCGTTAATAATTATCGTTGTTGTGAAAGAGAAATACGAGTGTGATAATGCTCAACTGTTATTGTGACGTAGAAGAACTTGTTTCGGTCCAAAATGGCGGCTATCATGTGTTAATTTTTATCCAATGTTTTCCATTAGATGTGTGCGAAGAAGAAGACTTCGAGGAAGTAGATATATGAAAGAAAACAGTATTTTACGGCTGTTAGGTAAGAGGTAAGAATATAAAAGGTGTATTTTGAGTTGCATGTTTTAGTATTGATCACTGTCAAATTGTCTTGTCGACCCAAAACACTTCAACTGAAACTAGCGTCAGTAGTGTAGTAAGCAGGATTCTATATCACAGGGATGACCTGCCCATCTACATCTTACCAATTTTGAACCTTTAGAATGTCTTTCTAGGTCAATCTTCAATTGAACAGGTTAGGCCACGCTCCGTTAAAAATACCAGAAGCTCTTGTTGAAGACCCTCTGGAATTGTCGTAAAATGTCTCAATTTCCACGTGTGTTCTATCCAACTTTAACACTTGCTTACAATCCTCCATGTTGAATTTATTCAATATTTTGTCAATATAAGCACCCGTCCTTTTAAAAACTAACGCGAAACCTAAAAACTATTTTATAGTTTCATTGGTTTAGGCTTTAAATTCTTTTGGTCAAAAACCATCGCTCGCAAAGACTAAACCGTCGTCCACGTATAATACGATAACAAGCTTTTGTTGTCCTTTTGTACATATGTATAAACGTGAATCAAATGCACTTTGTACCAGTTCGAAACTTAAATAAAAGCCCGTGAAACGCTTATTCCAATAGCGCGGTGCCTGTTTAAGCCCGTACAGACTCTATATGAGTTTGCACACACGAGGAGTCCCATCTTCAAACCCCCGGGGTTAATGCATATATATTTCGGTGTCATTTTCTAAATTGCCGTAAAGAAATGCTGTTTTTATATCGAACTGACGAATATGAAGACGTTGCTGCAACACTTAATAACGTACGTTTTATGCCCAATTTTTCCATGAGTGTTTTTACATGTTGGTTGTCTTATTCCTTGCCACCATCTGATTTTAGTTACTTGATGTTTTACTTCGTTACAAAACAGTTCCAATTTATTTTTCACTTCGAATTTTTCTCTTAAAAAATAAATATGACGAAAACCACTAAAATCGTCTTTAAACAGTACGTAATATCGTTTCTTAGTGAAAGATTTCGTGTCCATGGGACCACACACGTGTCTGAGTGGATAAGATCACGTGGTTTATCAGCCCGGCCAACACATTTTCCGAAACTTTCTCTATGCATTTTACCGTAAATGCACCCATTGCAGAACTCCTTTTTTACTTCGACATTAATACTCAAGTCTTTTGAGATCTTTTTCACGTGGCGCTTGTTTGGTGCGCGAAGCGCTCATGCCACAATTGTAGCAAATTTTCTTTTTGAAGTGAAACTTCTTTACGCACGGTAGGGTAAGTTCGTTTCATGCGAGTTGCTATGTAACGAAATCATGCAACGCATTTCCCCCGCTGTCTATCCCTATGTATGCTTAGATCGTTAAAACTACGCAACGGATTTTAATGCGGTTTTAATATAGCAGAGAAACACTGATAATTTTAGAGGTTTGTAATGTGATTGCAAACGCTGGCTGAACCCTACGAGATAGATCAAAATAATATACTAGAGTATTGTACACCTTAAAAAGGTCTACAAAAAAGTCCGTGATGGTATATGTCTATCTCTTAAGGATAACCCACAATAACCACTTTTTATACTTTACTTTTCACGAGAAATAATGGCTGATTTACGAAGCGATTTTAAGCAATACAACATTAATCCTTATTCAATTAAGTACTTTTAAATAAATTGTGCATTTAATATAGATCAATATGGCCCTTTACAGAATATAATTTAAATGAATATTTTCGAAGATATTACAGACTTAAAATGCAGGAACATAGCAGTTGCGGCGGTACACGCCAATTTGTATTGTCTAATGACAGAAAAGCTGTAATTGTTGTATATAAATACATTCTATAGTATATTTACTGTCAGCATTGCACCCCTACAAATAATACCATTAAACCAATTCCTTAGCCCCTATCCCGGTATGTTTGTGTGTTTGAAGAAGTTTCACTTCAGTAGCGTGTTGTATAATTACACGTTGTATTTTTTTTCTTTATTTGCAACAGCACACACCGGTTTAGCGTGTAAAACAACTCGTATTAGTAAAATTAATACCCTTTTTGACAGTCTTTATCACCGAAAACGAGTTGCACACCATGTTGGGAGTGTACAATACATCGTACATTATTCCCGGAGACCACTTCACACCGACTTTCTGTTCGGACAGTACCTTTATCAACGGCACTAACTTCATCACCGTTTCAGACCCTGATTATCGATTGCGATTTTTCATCTCTCCCTTTTCTTTTAGGACAGTTTTTGTACACGAGCCGTTTGGAACCACACCCGGGACACTCTGGACAGTCTTTTCGTATATGATCTTTTTTATCACACGTATACCAACCCGTTGCAGCCTTTTACACATGTTCTTGTTTCGAATTTTGACTCACTTTGAATTTAGAAAACAAAGCTATATTTTTGTCTACTTCTTCAGTTGTTTTCCACAGTTTTTGCTCTTCAATCAGCTAACGTGTTGTTAAATTTTCCAATACTTTCTGAGCAGCATCAGTAGAGTCCCAAGCACTATGTAAATGTTGAAATTCTCTTGGAAGAATCTTGTAAGCAACATATAGTACGGTATCGTATCACCTAATTTTTTCATACGATTTGCCATTCGTTCCCGTTTTGCCACATGGCCCACAAAAGATAGAGATTCGTCCTACTTGAAGTCAAAAAACTGCTTCTGTAAAAGCGACAGCGTTTCGTCCGATTTCAAATCGTAAATTGCATATCACATCTCAAAGGCGCGCGGTTTCGCAATTCATGAGAAACTGTAATGGTTTGGCTTCCACGGTGGTGACAAATAATTTTCTTGCAGCTCTATCTACCCTTAACCAGCCCTCCAAAACTTCACTGATATCTTTCCCCTCATTTGAAGTCGGCTTGGTTTCGGTCCCATCACATACTCCCAATCCAACAGAGTACGAATCACAAACTGCCACTGCGGCCAGTTGCTGCTATCTCGGAGTTTTGCAACCTGGACTTTTTCCATGTCCACCTTTATTGTTTAATAGAAAAAACACAATGTTTCTTTCGTATAACATAGAAATCACGTAACAACTAAACTAGGCTTATGGATCAGCGATGTCTGGGCCCATAACCTGTTCTTGTTAATTTTACGTGACAGAAAACCTTCCGTATTGTTGAAGAGTTTTATTCGTATTGTAATGTTACCACAAAAAAAGGGAACAAGAAGTTTTCGGAGTAAAAAACAATAATTGATAGTTATCGATCAATTTCGTTCAGATTTATAGAACGGCCAGAGCCGCTCTCAGGATAATGTAATATTACACAGCATTACTCATAAAGTAACAGCCTCAAGCTACTGGTCATAACAGTTCATTCGACAAGCGACACTTTTTACGGTCTTCATTAATGTACTTGCTTAGTTGTTATCGCAACTCGCTGTACTAATACCTGTTTTGTCAATTCACGCCCAGGACCGGCTTCGACTTTTTCTGGTTTTCTTTCAATTTTTTTACCATTTAATCACTCTGCTTTTCCAAACCTTGCAGAAATACCCTGTATATTAGGAGCAGAAATAGAAGTTAAGACAGACATATCATTATCATCATAGGGTCGTCAGTCCTAAGACTGGTTGGGCTCGCACCTCCACTCTTTCCTATCCTGAACTAATCATCGCATTTCCTTAAAAATAGAACATCGCACATCCTTAACTATTTGTGAACAGTAATCTAACCTAGGTTTACCTCTACCCCTCTAACTCCTGTTTCTGCCTCTAATATGTCTCTGACTAGACCTTCATGCCTGAGAAGGTGCCTTACCAACCTATCTCGCCTATTTCTTATTGACTTCCATAAAGTCCTCTGTTCTCCTATTCTTTCCAATACCTCTTCATTTCAAACCTTTTCTACCCACGATATCCTCATCATTCGCCTATAACACCACATTTCGAACGCTTCTAACCTTTTCTTTTCCGCAGTGCCCACTGCCCATCTCTACTTTTAAATTGTCTAATTTTCCTACTTGCCTCATTGACCTAACATTCCAGGCACCGACTCGTGAAACATTGCACCTATCCCTATTGCACTTATTGATGACATCCCCCGAGGTAGTCCCCGCCCGAACATCCGAATGGGGGACTAGTTTACGTCCTGAGTGCTTTACCCAAGAGGACGCCATCATTTAATTTTTGCGTACGTTATACTTGGGATCATAATGTGGTGGTTTCCCCTTGCCTTCCACATCGCAGTATTGTGCATCAAAGTGCCATACCGATCCTCGTGATCTCTGCCACCCTGAGTACTGAAAGAGCTGCTGCCCTCTTTCAGGGACTTGTCTTGGTCTGGTTTCTGTTTAAAAACCCCTCCATTATGGCATCTGTAGATTTAAATTAGATTACTGTTCGCAAATAGTGAGGGATGCAGTTTTAGATAAAAGGAAAGATTGACTCAAGAAATTAAAGTGTATATCCAAGCAGTCTACGCGGTGAATGTAGCTATATTACTGTGTGCCATGTGATGGCACCTATTAATTGAGTATTCCTAGGACAACATATAAATGAAGCTTCGTAAATTAATTATTGATATTTATTAAATATTTTATGACTCAAAGGGACTCTTTCTCGAACTTTCACCTATTAAGTCAAGATTTTACAATAGTTAAACAGTTACTTTTATTATTTCGGCTAATTATTATTGACGATAAGGCCGTTCGCGAGTTGGCCATATTCGAACAATCTAATAAATGCCCTTAGTTTACAGCAGGTTGTTTGGGACAGAAATTTCCGCTGCTGTCAAATCAATTACACCCCGGTAATTGAGGTGTGCGCCGCATGGAGCTAAAATTGCTACCTCCTGAGATCATTTATAAAAGGTGTCAGCAGATTACATCCCGTCCCGGCAGATGCTTTATCTGCGATATTAAGGACTGTTTTTAAAAGCTGTTTGCTTCGCGAGAAAAATTCCCTCTTTACTTAAAATAGCAACGCGCACAAAAAAATCGCACAAAGTAAGGACGCCCTCTCGTACATGTCAACAGAAATAAATGGTTGAGTCGGCATAACGTTTTGAAAA